CTGCTGCCGGCACTGGCGCCAGCACTTGCATGTGCCATGGCAAAGGCAAGCATGCCAATGCTACTGCAAGCTTGCACTCTGCTGGTGCTGCTACTGCTGCTGCTACTACAGCTGTCACAGAGCTGCCACATCAACTATACAACTGCATCGAATACAGCGGCTACAACTACTACGCCCGTTCTCCTGGTGCTACTACGACCACTGCTATCACGACTCTACGAACAAATGATCAAGTCTACCCCCTCTACCGCTCCAGCCACCCATACTTCTCATGGTAACTTTGGCGTACGTAATGCGTGTGCATACTGCCCACGGCACCGCCTCATGCCAAGGAACCCGCCAATATCTCTGACCACTGCGCACGCTGGGACTGCTAGTTCCTTAGCTGATGCCCGAACAATGAGCACGACGCATACTTGTACTCCTCATCCACATACGACTACCACTACCACTGCAACTACTACTGCTGATATTTCTACGACTACTGCTACTACTGCTACTGCTACTGCTACTACTACTACTACTACTACTACTACTACTACTACTACTACTACTACTACTACTACTACTACTACTACTACTACTACTACTACTACTAATACTACCACGACCACTATTACCACTATTACCACGTCTGCTGCTACTACTACTAGTACTACTACTAATAATCCGCCGACCCTGTCGGCGTGTGTGAGGGGCTTTTCCGTTCGAGCCGTCATCTCCGTCATTCTTTGTACTCGTCGTCTCTGTCGTTCCCTTTCCCTGGGAGACCTCTTCCCCTGGGCTCCAGCCAAGCCGACCTTGAGCAACCTCGTAATTGAGTCGAAGGGAAGCCCCTTCCCTTTGATCCCTCCCCCGCCGAGAGGGGGGAGGGGGGGTAGCGACCCCCCCCCCGGGTCAGATACGACGCCCCCCCTGGGACTCCTCTTCCCCTGGGCTCCAGCCAAGCCGACCTTGAGCAACCTCGTAATTGAGTCGAAGGGAAGCCCCTTCCCTTTGATCCCTCCCCCGCCGGGAGGGGGGGGGGGGTAGCGACCCCCCCCCGGGTCAGATACGACGCCCCCCCCTGGGACTCCTCTTCCCCTGGGCTCCAGCCAAGCCGACCTTGAGCAACCTCGTAATTGAGTCGAAGGGAAGCCCCTTCCCTTTGATCCCTCCCCCGCCGGGTGGGGGGGGGGGGTAGCGACCCCCCCCCGGGTCAGATACGACGCCCCCCCCTGGGACTCCTCTTCCCCTGGGCTCCAGCCAAGCCGACCTTGAGCACTCGTAAATTGAGTCGAAGGAAGCCCCTTCCCTTGATCCCTCCCCCGCGCCGGGAGAGGGGGGGGGGGGTAGGGGGGGGGTACCGACCCCCCCCCCGGGTCATACGACGCCCCCCCCTGACCCTCTTCCCCTGGGCTCCAGCCAAGCCGACCTTGAGCAACCTCGTAATTGAGTCGAAGGGAAGCCCCTTCCCTTTGATCCCTCCCCCGCCGGGAGGCGAGGGGGGGGTAGCGGGGGGCGGTAGCGACCCCCCCCCAAGGTCAGATACGACGCCCCCCCCCGTACCGACCTTGAGCAACGTCGTAATTGAGTCGAAGGGAAGCCCCTTCCCTTTCCCTTCCCCGCCGGGGGAGGGAGAGGGGGTCCCGGGGGGGGTCCCGGGGGAGTCCCGGGGAAGTCCCGGGTCAGATACGACACCTCCCTCCCCCACCTTCTCGTCCTTCTCCCCGTTCCCCAAAACCATCCCACAGCCCGTGCCTCTTGCTGCGCATTGCGAACAGGGTCGGCGGCACCGGCCGTCAGGCCTTCGCAATACTACTACTACGACTGCTACTACGTTTACTACAAGTACGACTGCTACTGCTACTACTACCACTACTACTGCTACTACTACTACTACGACTACTACGACTACGACTACTACTCTTACGACCACTACTACTATAACGACTACTACTACCACTACTACACTTCGACAGCTACAAAGTACGACTGCAACAACCAGAAATATAACGACGACGACGACGACGACGACGACGACTACTACTATTACTACGACTACTATTACCACTACTTATACTTCTACTTCTACTTCTATTCTACTTCTACGACTACTACTACTACTACTGCAGTTGCACCTACACCGGACTATTACCACGACAGCTACGGTGACGAAAACTACTGACTACTACTACTACTGCTACTAGTACTACTAATACTACGACAACGAACAAGACTACTACAAATATTACTACTACTACTACTACTACTACTACTACTACTACTACTACTACTACTACTACTACGACGACTACTAGTACTATACGACTAACTAATAACGACTACTACTACTACTACTAACTAATAACTACTACTACTACTACTACTACGACTTACGCTACTCCTACTACTACTACTACTACTACAACTACGACTACTAGTACTGCTACTACTAATACTCCTACTACTACTACTACTACTACCACTACTACTACGACTACTACTACTACTACTACTACTACTACTACTACTACTACTACCATCATTACTACTACTACTACTACTACTACTTCTACTACTACTACTACTACTACTACCACCACTACTACTACTACTACTACGACGACTAGTACTACTACTACCACTACTACCTCTCCTACTACTACGGCTACTAGAAGTACGACTACCACTACGATTAAGACTGCGACAGCGACTACTACTAGTACTACTGCTGCGACTACTACTACGGAATCTACTACTACGGAATCTACTACTACTACTACTACTACTACTACTACTACTACTACCACTGCTACTGCTACTACTTCTTCTACTACTACTACTACTACTACTACTACTACGACTACTACTACTACTACTACTACTATTACTATGACTAAAACGACGCCTACTACTACGCCTATTACTGTGACGATGGCTACTACAACTACGACTACGACTACGCCTACGCCTACGCCTACGACGACACTTATTAGCAGTACTATTACTAGTACTACTACTACCACCACAATTACTACTACGACTACGACGACGACTACTACTACTACTACTACTACTGCTACTACTACTACTACTCTTTCTACGGCTACGACTGCACCTACTACTACTACTACTACTACTACTACTACTACCACTACTACTACTACGACTACTACTACTACTACTACTACTACTACTACTACTCCTACTACTACTACTACTACTACTACTACGGCTGCTACTACAACTAAAAACTACTACTAATCCTACTACTACTACTACTACTACTACTACTACTACTACTACATCTACGACTACGACTACCACTACAACTACTGCAACTGCTAGCATGACTACGACAACGAGTATACTACTACGACTACTACGACTACTCCTACGATTACTACTACTACTACTACTACTACTACTACTACGACTACGACTACTACTACTACTACTACTACCACTACTACTACTACTACTACGACTACGACTACGACTACGACTACTACTACTACTACTACTACTACTACTACTACTACTACTACTACTACTACTGCTACGACTACGACTACTACTACTGCCCCGCATTTCTACAACTGCTGCTGCTGTAAAACAACAACTACTAAACGACGAACTGCTACTCCTAAGGCTACTGCTTCTGCTAACAGGTTAACTACGAGTACTAGTACCATTATCACTACTACACTACTACTCTACTACTACTACTTAACTACTACTACTCCTACGACGACTAACTACTACACTACCATACTACTACTAATACTACTACTACTACTACTACTACTACACGACCACAACTAACTCACTACTACTACTTACTACTAACTACTTACTACTCGCTACTACTACTATTACTAGCTACTACTACTAACTACTACTACTAACTGACTACTAGTTTTAATCGCAGGACGACTACGACCGAGACGACTACTACTAACTACTACTACATATACTACTTCTACTTCTACTAGTAACTAACTAGTGCTAAGTATAGTACTAGTAGACTACTACTACTACTAGTACGACTACTACTACTACTTTTGCTGACTGGCTATGCTACTGCTACTACTACCACTACTACTACTACCTACTAACTAACATACTACACTACTACTACTACTACGACTACTACTACTACTACTACCTACTACCTACTACTACTACTACTACTACTACTACTACTACTACTACTACTACTACTACTACTACTACTACTACTACTGCTACTCCTACTGCTACTCCTACTCCTACTCCGACTCCGACTCCGACTCCTACTCCTACTCCTACTCCTACTCCTACTCCTACTACTACTACTACTACTACTACTACTACTACTACTACTACTATTACTACTACTACTACTACTACTACTACTACTACTACTACTACTACTACTACTACTACTACTACGAGGGCGACTACTACCACTACTGCTACTGTTACTGCTACTGCTACTGCTGCTGCTGCTGTTGCTGTTGCCTCCGCTGCTTCGCGCGCGTCGGGATGTCACGCACGGCGCCCCCCCTGCTGTTACGTTTTCTGCTGCAGCTTTTACTACGCGCGCTATTGCAAGTCGTGCTGTCGGAGTTGCTTGCGCTGCTTTCAAACTATGATGCTGCTACTACTCCCACCAGCGATATAATTGGCACAACATCAGCAGCTGATGCAGTAGAGCAGCTGCTTGTACTATTACATTGGGTGATTCCACTACTGATACTCCTGCGAGTGTTTCTGGCACTGCTCCTTCTCATTCACTACCAACGGCTACGAACTAGAACCACCACCGAGACAACGACCATCGCAACCAGAAGAAAATGTGCGACCCAACCGCAAGATGGTACGAACAGCGACCGTAATTTGCACAACAAGTGGAAGGGGTAACACACGACGTAGCGGATGGCATAGAATGGAGAAAAGCGGCGGAAGTGGCCAGCGGGAAAACGATCACTGTGATGGAAATGGTGGCGCAGCCCGGCGTCTTTATGTCCCCAGTCCTCATGTTTTCCCAGCGCCTTCAGCACCGTAGCTAAATTGCTCACTGCCGCGAGAGTGTCTGGATGGTCAGGTCCAAGAATGTCCTCCGCGGTGGCTGCATAATCGAAAGAGCAACTCCGATGGGAGAGCAATAAGCTTGGTGCAGCCCACGTCTGAAAACACAAGCGAACCACCAACCCAGAACGTGACATAGAGCTGCCACATCTGCGTGTTGCCTTCTGATGGTCGTCGTCGGCGTCGTCGCTCTCCTCCTCCTCCTCCTCCTCCTCCTCCTCATCATCATCATCATCATCATCATCATCATCATGCTCCTCCTCATGCTCCTCCTCCTCATCCTCCTGCTCCTCCTTCTCCCCGTTCTCGTTATCAACACTCCCTCATGGCCGCCTGTCGGTCGGCAAGCCTGGTTCTGCTGCAGAGCTGAACGCGCTTTTGCCCTCACCCGGAGGGAACAAAAGAGGAACACAGGGGGTGCGCGCCACGGGATGACGGGGGCGTGCCACGGACGCGCCGCAGGGCGCAGGGGGGCGAGACGAGGGACGCGCCTGGGGACGTGCCGGGAGACGCGCTACCGAACGCGCCATGGGAGGCGCGGGGGGGCGCGCCAGGAGACGCGCTACCGAACGTGTCATAGGAGGTGCGGGGGGACGCGCCAGGGGACGTGCCAGGAGATGCGCTACCGAACGCGCCATGGGAGGCGCGGGGGGACGCGCCAGGGGACGCGCCAGGAGACGCGCCAGGGGACGAGCCAGGGGCCTCTAAATCCTGGTGCTGTCAAGCATTCCACGCAATGAGTCCGGCGCGACCCCAATGAGGGATCTTCTTCTTCGAGAGCAGTTCAGAAAGGTTCTGAGCAATGCGAAGCAATGCAATGCAAACCGCTGCTTGGCATAGCTTGGCATTGCCTGGCAGCCCTTTGCATTGCATTGATTTGCTTGGCGTTGCTTGGCATTGCTTGGAACGGTTGGTTTGAATCGCTTATGGCGTTGCTTGGTTTTGTTCTTCATTCTTTGGCGTTTACTGTCATCGCTTGGAAGTTTTGCTTGGCATTGCGTGGACTGCTTGGCATTGTGCTCATTGCTTGGCAGTGCTTGGCCTTGACTGGCAATGATTGGCATTGCTTAGCATTGCTTCGCGTTACTTGACGTCGCTTGGCGCTGCTGGGCATCAATCTGCAATGATTGGCGTTGATTGGCATTGCTTTGCATTGCTTTGCATTGCTTGGTGTTGTTTGGCATATCTTGGAATCGTTGCGTGGCAATGCTTGGCATTGCTGTGCATTGCTTGAACGTGCTTGTCATTGATTTGAAGCGCTGCTTGGCGTTGATTGGTACTGCTTGGCATCACTGTGCATTGCTTGGCGTTACTTGGCTTTGTTTCCCCTAAGCAACGATCGAGGATTCGACTTGTGGAACACTTTCCTCGAGCGGGCACGCAAAAAAGGCTGCGTACGGAGAGCACTCTGGGGCCCCTCCGATTTCAGGAGGCCCCTGGGTACACTTTTGTGGATTGGGACACGTGTTCGGGGAGCAGCGCTGTTCGGCCCTCCCGCCCTCAGGAGGCCCCAGGAAGCCCTACGAGGCCCCAGGAGGCACTATCCAGTATTGTGATATGTGTTCGCAGAGTGCTTTTGGGTCCCCAGTAGGCTTCTCCCCCATAATGATAGGCTTCTCCCCCACAGGCTTTGCCGCCCCCCTCCCAGGGCTCGAATCGTTGTGGATTACGTATGTTCCTCTAGATTGCCCCTCCCCTGGGGTTCGAATCCTGTGTGTTACGTATGTTCCTATCGACTGCCCCTCGGCTGGGGCTCGAGTCCTTAACGTTTCACGTGCGCTTCTGTAAGTTGCCCTTCTCCTGGGGGTCGAATCCTTCGAGATTCGAACCCGCACTGCTCCCCAGAGCCGCACAGATGTGTGTATGGGGCAATGATTTGGGAGAGGCGTTGGCTCGACCTCCTTGGGCGGGAGATCTGGGTGTGGGAATATCGGCACCCTTGTCATATGCTTATCCCAAGAGGGGGTGGCACCATGATGAATACCAATGGCATGCAGAAGCATGGCGCGTGAGGGTAGACTGATCGAACTCTTACGTCTAAAGGATGAGTACTGTTGATACCCCCGCCCAATGCCCGTCGCGCTGTTTAACATAAAGTGCTCCGCCCTGGAATAGCACCCTGCTTTGTACAAGGGAATATCTTGAGGCTCAGATTGGGCCCCTGCCCCCCGAACTACAACAGCATCGACTCCCGCCTTATACGTCTGAAAGAGCGTCCCAGAGACGCGGCAAGGGTCGTGCCAAAGGACGTGCCATGGGGACGCACCGCGGGACGTGCCAAAAGGACGCGCCACGGAACGTGCCAATGGATGTGCCACGGGACGCGCCAAGGGACGAGCCGCGCAACATGCCAAGAGGACTCGCCATGGGACGCGCCACGGAACGTGCCAATTTGCAAGGCTGAATGCATCGATCTTGGTGTACCGTGCCAAAGGCTATGCTGTGCTGCGCCGTGCTGGTATTGCTGTGATGCGTCCTGCCGCGATTATGCTCTATAGCGCTGTGGATCGAATCCTCCGTGGCATCCGAGTCCTGACCAAACTGATCTGGATCTTAAGCTCGAGCAGCCTGAGCACATAGTAGCTGCCCCAGAGCTGGTTGAAATGGAAACGCGCGGGGCGTTCAATCAACTCGATATCAAAATACGATTCAGCTCTGAAAAGGACGCAACGCGACGGGGCGCAGGCTCACGGACGCGCCACAGGATGTGCCAAGGGCGCAATAGGAGGATGCGCCAGGGGGCGTGCCAAAGGACGTCTCAAGGGACGTGCCCTGGACGTGTCAAGGACCTGCCGCGGGACGTGCCACGGCGCGTGTCGTGGGACGGCCAGGGGACGCCATGCCAAAGGAGCTTGCAAAGAGCGCGCCACGGAACGGGCAAGGGAAACGCCTGGGGACGAGTCAGGAAACGCGTCAGAGCACGAGCCAGGGAACGTGCCACGCCGAGTGGCGTGCTAGGGGACGTGCTAGGGCACGTCACGCCAAAACGTCACAAGAGATGCGCCAAGGGACGCGCCCGCGCGCCAAGGGACGCCCCACGGACGGGCGGGGTTGGACTGCGACGCACTCTACCGCGGAAGCGTTTCGCTCGAGATATTCTCGACACAACGACCTGGACACGTGAAACCAATCGCCTCGGTCGAATCATCCTCAACACATCCTCATGTTAGACATCCGCCTGGGCGACCTGGACACGTGAAACCAAGCGTCTCGCTCGAGACGTTCTCAACACCTCCTCATGTCAGACATCTGCCTGGGCAACCTGGACGCGTGAAAACCAGTGCTTCGCTCGAGACATCCGGTTCAAACCCCCATGCTAGACATCCGCCTGGGCGGCTTGGACACGTGACAAACAAGCGTTTCGCTCAACACATCCTCACCACATCCTCATGCTAGACATCCGCCTGGGCGAACTGGACACGTACAAACAAGTGGTTCGCTTGAGACATCCTCAACACATCTTCCTGTTAAACGCCCGCCTGGGTAACCAGGGCACGGAAACAAAACGTTCCGCTCGAGACGTTCTCAACAGCTCCTCATGCTAGACATTCGCATGGGCGACCTGGACACGTGCAAACAAACGTATAGCTCGAGACATCCTCAACCCATCCTCATATTAGACATCCGCCTCGGCGCCCTGGACACGTGAAAGCAAGCGCTTCGTTCAAGACGTTCTCAACACACCATCATGCTAGACACCTGCCTGGGCAACCTGAACACGTGCAATCAAACGTCTCGATCGAGACTTCCTCAACACATCCTCATGCTGAGGAATGCACCAAAGAAATAAGATGCGTACTTCTCACGGAAAGCGCGAGAGCGAGGAGACGGGTACAGACGCTCAGACACTCACGGAGGGCGTCGGTGCTGGCCGCGGCGGGAGGAGGAGCAGGAGGAGGAGGAGGAGGAGGAGGACGAAGAGAAGGAGGGTTCAGGAGGAGCATGAGGGCGGAAGAGGAGGAGGGCGTAGGGAAAACGGTGGAAGAGGAGGAGCGAGGAGGGTGGAAAGGAGGAAGGGCGAGAATATAGAGGACATGGAGGAGGATCAGGAGGACGAACAAGAAGAGGAGGAGGAGGAGGATGAGAAGGAGGAGGAGGAGGAGGAGGAGGAGGAGGAGGAGAAGGGGGAGGAGGAGGAGGAGGAGGAGGAGGAGGAGGAGGAGGGTGGAGGAGAGGGAGGGGGGGAGGAGACGAAGGAGGGGGCGAAGCACGGATGGATGATATCGAGGCGGACACGGATGGTGAACGCGGGTCGTCATCGTCATTATCACTACTAGTATTAAGTAGTATTATGATCATTAGTTGCATCATCATCATCATCAGCATCATCATCATCATCATCATCAGCATCATCATCATCATCACCATCATCATCATCATCATTATCATCATCATCATCATCATCATCATCATCATAATCATCATCATCATCACCATCATCATCATCATCATCAACATCATCATCATCAACAACAGCATCATCACCAGCAACATCATCACCACCACCATGATGAGCATAATCGCCATCATCAACATGATCGTCATGAACATCACCACCACCGCCAACGCCATCCTCATCATCACCATCATCCGCATCATCACCATCATCACCATCATCGTCACCATCGTCATCATCAACATCATCGTCATCACCACCACCACCGTCGCCATCATCACCATCATTGTCATTAGCACCATCACTACTACCAACACCTTCAGTATCGCCATCATTGTGATTATCCCCATCGTCATCATCATCGCTGTCATCGTCGTCGGCATCACGTCATCGGCATCGTCATCATCATCACCATCATCACCACTACCACCACCACCACCATCATCCGATCACCATAACCATCACCATCGCCATCATCATCCTCAGAATCACAATCAAAGTCATCATCCCCATCATGCCCCCCGACTCAATTCGCGCTCCGATTCAGCCCCGAAGGCTAGCACCAGTCAAGGGGGTGGGCGGCGTGCCACAAACGGTGCAGTTGGCCCCGCATCGAGCGCCGAGTGAACCCTGCAGCTCGGCGGGCATCTGGGGGCAGTGCGGAGCACGTGCCGTGTTGCGACGTCACGTAGGCGCAGCAGCAGCAGCAGCAGCAGCAGCAGCAGCAGCAGCAGCAGCAGCAGCAGTAGCCGCAGCAGGGAGAGGTGCAAGGGCGACGCGCAGCGCCTGCTTGAAAATACTGGAACCGCCTTCCAGCGCTGACCACGCATCAAGCTTCTCTGCTACGTCTGTCCAGCTTCCTTTTACGGAGCTGCCCGAACAATGCTTGCAGACTGCGTTCGCGTCACCTTCCCATCTTGTCTGTGGCACTCCGATGCGCTTTTGCCTACCTTGCGTCCGACCCCGATCCCACTGCAATGCTGAGACAAACCACGTGTTTACATCGTTTGTGAAACAGCAACCTGCATGCCTCCAAGTATTCCGTCTTTACCTTTCGATACAATCTTCAATGTCCTGCGTGTCCAATCTGTTCTAATATGGCCTGGGCCGTGCCGTGCGCCTGAGCCAATCCATCCACTATTCGATATTCTTACTGCAATCATCCTCGCTGTCCTGTAAGTCAGGGTCGTCTTCGCTGCTGCTGGTAGAACTACGTGCCTTCGTGAGTCGCCTCCCCGACCCGATAACCATCCGCAGCACCTGCCTCTCCGTTTTCAGAAGCACGCGC